ATATATGATTCCATAAAGATTAAAAAGAGACAAAAAAGTAAACACACTGCTGAGGAATAAATACATATAAAAGTGATGAAATTATACAAAAAATTATATAAATACTTACCATAAAAATCAGGACATTTTGTTTACCTCTAAAGAAAAGGAAGATTATATCAAGGGTTTCTGGGATGCCAGTAATGATCTATTATAACATGGATGTTTGCTTTATACTTAACTCATTTTACTATACATTTATGTTTCTACACAATGTTATATTTTACAATAAAAATTTTTAAATATGTTTTCTGAAATAACATATTCTTACAGAAAAGGAAGAGAGGGCTTCTCTTTTTCTTGGTCTATATTTCCAATTTTTATTGCAATACTTTAATATAAAGAAACAAATTACCATGCTTAATTCACAATTCTAATTAAAAGTAGATTTCACAGGTTTTCCCAATGGCTATCAAAAAAGTATCAGGCTGTTAAAGAGTATAAGATCAGTTATCCTGTTAAATCTTTGCTTAGCTCAGTGTTGTTTATGACACTTTTTCTTCTGTTGAAGGAAATGTATGATTACTTTCCCAAAAAAATCTACGTTACATCCAGGCAATAATTTTATGCAGGGTACTCTCCAAAAATATACATTTTAGCTCAAAAGTAGGAAGAAAAACAACTTTAACTCTCACGTGTTTTAAAACAATTTTGGGAGCATCTGTGTATGCATATAATGTGAGGGTTCATTTTAGGATGGACACAGACATAACACTTGAGGTCCAACCCAGTGTCATGCTGTTGTAAGTATCGTTCACTGTGTGTTCTAGAAAACATGATTGCTGGATTATAGGATGGATATATAAAACGAGTTACACTTAAAGTCCACTGTATAAAATATAATGTAGGGTGACTCATTCAAAACAGGCCTAACAATGCCCAATTTAAATTATACTGGAGCTGTTTTAAATATATCCTTTGGAAAAACAAAAGTACAGGGAATTTATTAGGAGATAATAATAATTTTAAAACTGACTAAAATTACAAACATAAACACACACATAATTTAAGAAATCATAAAAGGTCCATTACCTACAAGTATCTTCAATATATGTTTGTTACACCTTTTTGATGACACTAAACAGGAAGCCGACAATGAAACTGAGAAGCAAGACTCTCAGCACTTTCATCACGCTCCAGATATCAACATAATGGCAATGGTAAGACTCATTATGATAATGGAGTTGCTTCTGATGTTTTTTTGTGAATGCAACCAAGGATTCCTCTCCTTAGCAAGTCCAGCTAACCAGTTATTTGCCCATCTATTAAGTGCCAACTTTAAAAATTTATAATGTCCAGCAGGGAGCAGCATTACAACATCCATAAGACTTAACTAGAACATCAAACGGACAGAAGAAAAAAGAAGAAAAAAGCCCACTTACCATAAGTCTGATCCACAATACATTCAGTTTTTAGGATAGTTGCAGGGCTTCCAGAAAAAAACATCTAAAGCATGTTTCAAAACAAATATGCGTGATCCCTGGTTTCAGGATTCCTAAAGTCAAAAATCAAAATTATATTAGTTAAAGGCTTCTCTCATCCATGTTGAGTTGAATTAATATATGACTAAATGTCTCTCAGTTAAGATGCATCTTCCTCTTTAGCAAGCCAATGGGATTTTGAATTCAAACATTCAATGACGCTTTGGATAAAATGATTTTTAAAAACCAGAATATTAAAGTCCTTTATCTATGAGGGAATTTAAAATAGAAGAGGAAAGTAAGTGTGTGACATATCAATCAACCTAGAGAAAACTGTGTTCATGCACTTGAAGAAGCTGATAAGCCAACCACATACAGTTCTGATATATCAAATTCCTCTGAACAATTTGCAGGTAATGGAAAGGAAATACCATTCATTTGTAAATATCAGTATGAATAACTATGGTCAACTTTAAGCACAAAGAAGCAGCAGAGAAGTAGTTTGTAATGCTAGTGTGTTAAGACTTATGAGTCAGATATTTACTGAATAGGAAGAATGCATACAATATTGCTGAAAAACCTTGTGACTAGTTATAACATGACAAAGGCAAAACACATGTTTAATAACGTCTTTGATGTCAAAACCTGCCTCATATTCAACTATAATGACTCCAAGTCAATTCTTCTGAGAAAAACGTTTTCTCCAATTTTATTTGAAATGTTAAGTTTGCTTTATTTATATAGTTACACATGACAGTTGATCATCTACACCAAAAACTAAATTTTTGCTATTAAAACAGCATATGAAGTCATCTTAAAATATGTAATTATATCTAATTTACATTATATGGTATCACATATCAATATATTAACATAAAAATATATTTATTTGAAACTTAATATGTAAAACGGACCCTATTTTCTTCTAGGAAAATGCCATGAGAATCTTGAGTGTATGATATCAAGACTATGGTGATTCTCTAGTAACTTGACTGAAACTGAGAGAAATTCTGATATATTAATCTTCTATCCTTTATCAGTAAGCTATTCATGGCATTATTTTTATCTTTTGCTCTCAAAGTCTTCTTCTTATCCTATTTCTTGCCTTTGCTATTGTTCATTTCATTTTCTGATACTTGCTCATTTCTGCCAATCTTCCCTCTTTACTGTTTCAACCCCAATTTTTATTTTATTCAATCTCTCTTTATGATCCTACTATCTTTTCCCCTTTAATTTTAGGACTCTTAAAAGTGAGTTTTTTTCTGTAACACCAGTCTGCTTAAATATATTCTTTCATCCATTTACAGGCACTGTGCTTGATCTTAACAATCTCACCTGACTGGAGGACTCAACTAAATATACTTAAATTGCATTGCTGGTACTTGCAAAAATATTTTTTCTTCTGAATTATTTAAATATTTGAAGAATTCATTAAACATTTTGGAGTTAATCTTGAAACAACCCAAAATCTCAAGGAAATATAACCTCACAAACTTAATTCCAGTCAATTTGAGACTACCACTATTCTAATAAAAAGGTGATTTAAGATCTTACTACATTGATGTGAATATTGAGTAATTAACTTTTTCAAGTCAACAGAACTTTAGTGCTGTTTGTGCATGCACATGTGTACAATACCCTCACTAAAAAGCAAGGACACATTGAATAATCCCTCACTTCTAATAATAGTATTATAAAGTATGAAAAAAAATGCTTCTCCTATTCAGCACCCTCTAACGGTATTAGTATATTGTAAAACAATCTCATCATGAAATATACATGAGCTTTGAAATTTTTAAAGATTATACATAGATTATATAGTACCCTTACTTATCTAACAAGAGACCGTAGTATGTGTAGTAGTACTCCCCACTTTCCCCAAATTCACATCCACTTAGAACCTAAGAATGTGACCTTATTGGGATATAGGGTCTTTGCAGATACAATTAAGGTAAGGATAAGCATGAGATCATACTAGATTAGGGTGGACCCTAAATCCAATGAGAATGTCTTCATTGGAGACAGAAAAGGACACAGACACAGAGAAAAAGACAAAGTGAAAACGGAGGCAGAGACTGGAATTACACTGACACAAACCAGAGGAGCCACCAAAAGCTGGAAGAGGCAAGGAAGGGTTCTCTCCTAGAGCTTTTGAAATAAACATGGCCCTGCCGACACCTTGATTTTGGACTTCTGCCATCCAAAACTGTGACAAGGTAAATTTGTGCTGTTTCACCACCAACTCTGTGGTGGTGAAATGTTATGGAAGTCCTAGGAAATTAATATAAATTTTGGAACTGGGAAGTAGTGTGTTGATGTTAACAAATAACTAAAAATAAAAAAGAGACTGTTGGTATATTGCCTTGGAGAGACTGGTAGAAAGAGATGTTGAGATTCTGGTGAAGGCTCAGAGGAAGTGAACAGGATGGCAGAGAAAACTTCTATTATCTTAGAAAACTCATATATTGTCAGGGCCCAAGACGTTTAGCCAGCTGAGAGGGCTAACATAACTACTTTGATTAGAGAATCAAGATTGGACTACAGCTCTAAAGTGAACATGTTCCAATGTTCAGTAACGAAAAATGATCTTCACACATAAAGGTAATTCACTATTTCCATGTGAGGTCATTTAGGAAATGTTAATAAAAAACAGGACATATGATTTGCTTATTTTATCTTTTAAAATTTAACCTTAGAATACTACACTAGAAAATTATTTTCATTATCTTTCTTTCCGGGAAATGCTTTACCTTCACTAACACAGGCACTAGGTCTCAGAAAAGCCACTGAAAGTCCAAACAAAGGAGTATCCATTTATGTCATGGAGTACTAGTAGTTGCCCACCATGACTGCTATGTCAATAGGTGGCTGTAGTCTTTCCACTGTAGCTGAAGACTTCTCAGAATACCAACTCACTGGAATATTTGTGGAAATGGTCCCACTATGTGGCCACAAGGGTGATATATATACACATTGCTTATGGAACTCTCAGACTAGATTTTATATAGCTGAGTTCATTTGGAAGAGATGTTTATTTTTTTAGAGCCTTTTTTTTAATTTTAGAACAATTTTAGGGTTACAAAATTGAAAGGACAGGAATTTCCCACATTCCTGACCCCACACATGTATAGCTTCCCCTATTATCAACATCACTCACCAGAGTGGTACATTTTTTCCCAAGGATGAACCTACATTGACACATTATAGTCACCCAAAGTTCATAGCTTACTATAGGGTTCACATTTGGTGCTGTACATTCTATGAGTTTGAACCAATGTATAATGACATATATCCATCATAATACCATACAAAATATTTTCACTGCCCTAAAAATCCTCTGTGTTCTGCCTATTCATTCTGCCCCAACCATTTCTGGCAACCAATGATCTTTTGTCTCCATAGTTTTGCCTTTTCCATAATATCATATAGTTGAAATCAGTATGTAGCTTCTTCAGATTGGCTTCTTACACTTAATTTGCATTTAAGGTTCCTCCATGTCTTTTCATGGCCTGACAGTTCATTTGTTTTCAGTCTAAATAATATTCCATTGTCTGGATGAAACTCATTTCATTTATCCATTCACCTACTAAGAGATATCTTGGTTGCTTCCAAGTTTTGACAATTATGAATAAAGCTGCTATAAATACCCATATACAGGTTTTTATGTGGATGTTTTCAACTTTGGATAAGGAGCATGATTGCTAGATTGTATGGAAAGAGTACGTTTCATTTTATAAGTAATCTTCAAAATGGCTGTACCATTTTGCATTGTCAGCAATGTATGAGAGTTCCTATTGTTCCACATCCTAGCCAGCATTTGGTATTGTCAGTGTTCCAGATTTAGTCCATTATCTTATGTGTACAGTGGTATCTCAATGTTGTTTTAATTTGCATTTCCCTGATGACGTACGATGTGAAGCATCTTTTCCTAGGCTTTTTTGTAATCTGTATCTTCTTTGGTAGGTGGTCATTTTAAAATCAGGTTGTTTTCTTGTTGAATTTTAAGAGTTCTTTATACATTTTGGATAACAGTACTTTATCAGATATATCTCTTACAAATATTTTCTTCTCAGTCTATGGCAGTTCTTCTCATTCTCTTGACATTGTCTTTCACAGAGCAGAAGTTTTTCGTTTTAATGAAGTCCAGCTTACTAATTTTCACGGATCACGTCTTCAGTGTTGTATCTAAAAATGCATCACCATATCCAAGGTTCTCTAGATGTTCTCCTATGTTATCTTCTAGTTTTAGTTTTACATTTTACTTTTAGGTATGTGATCCACTTTGAGGTAATTTTTGTGAAGGATATAAGATTATTTTTTTATATCTGTGTCTAGATTTTTTTTTCCATGTGTATGTCAAGTTGTTCCAGCATTATTTGTAAAAGAGACTATCTTTGCTCCATTATAGTGCATTCGCTCATCAATGCGAAAAATCAGTTGATATAGTTGAGTCTATTTCTGGGCACTCTACTCTGTTCCACCGATCTATTTGTCCATTCTTTTGCCAATATCACAGTCTTGATTACTATAGCTTTATATTAAGTCTTGAAGTTAGGTAGCATCAGTCCTCCGACTTTGTTCTTCTTCAGCATTGTCGGCTATTCTGGGTCTTTTTCCTCTCCATAGAAACTTTAGAATGAGCTTATCAATATCCATAAAGTAATCTGCTGGGATTTTGACTGGGATTGCATTGAATCTATAGAGCACATTGGGAAGAATTGATATCGGGACAATATTGAGTCTCCTATCTATAAAAGTGAAATTTCTCTCCATTTAGGTCATCAGAGTTTTGTAGTTTTCCTCATGTAGATCTTGTTCTGATTTTTTTGTTTTGTTTTGTTTTTTGTTTTTTAGATTTATACTTAAGTGTTTCATTTCTTGGTTACTAATGTAAATTGTATTGTGTTTTAAATATCTAGTTCCACTCGTTCATTGTTGGTATATAGGAACTGATTTCATTTTGATAGGATGGTGAGATGACTTTACTGAGATGTGTAGGTTGAAGTGAGATTTGAACTTAACCGATAAATAGATTCTGTTAACTGTAGCCTTTTGGAAGAAGGGAACATGATCAGTACAGGAGAATAAATGAATGTCAAGGTGCACAAAGTAAAGGAATTCATAAAGTGATGTGGTCAGAGAGGTAGGTAGAAGGAACTATACGCAGGTCGGTAAAAAATTTTGTTTTTATATGATCATATTTATATTTGGAAAAGATCAGAATGGCTCTTGAATGGAAACGTACTGCAGGAGAACCAAAGACGAGGGCTAAATGCACTAGAATGGATAGGAGAGCTACTGAGAGGAAAACTCCATAGGTCTTGGTAATGAACTGGATATGGTGAAATGAATCTTGGGAAAGGAATTGAGTGTAGTGAGGTTCTTAGCTTAGACAACTAATGCTACAAATAGTCAGCAAAGGAAGTTCAGTCTGGGGCATTATGATTTTGAGGTCCCACTAAGACTTCCAAGAACAAGTAAAGTAAGTATCCGAATTTATTATTCAGGAGGTCAGAAAAGCAATCTGGATTATAAATGTTAGTCATTAGTATATAAATGATAACTGAGGTCCTGGAAGTAGATGAAGGTAAGAACATGGAATAAAAAAAGAAAACGGTCTTAAGGACTCCAAGATTTAATGGCAGAAAGCAGAAGAAAGAGAGTTTTCTTTTACACCCTTTAGCCACTGAATTGTCCCTCCTTTCATATATCAATTCCTCTCTCCTATGCTCAATATTCCATTTCTTTTACCTCATTCAGGTTGTCTTATCAATTGTCTAGAATTGTTTTCTAGTCCCTTTATTGCCTAACAACAAATCTGCTCCCTTAAATCTTTATCATCTCCTTCAATGTCCTCTTCACAGAAAAGCTTTCTAAAATGTAAAATGGTCTGATTTTATGGAATATTCAACTTCACTTGCCTTCAACTCTAAATATTATTTGACTTTTCAGATTACTACCCTTTATTCTGCCCTTAACAAAGCCAAAATAAACCATTATTACTAAATCAAATAATCACGTCCCAATTCTTATTTTACTTTGTTTCTCTGACCAGCTTTTAAATGTTCGTGTTCCCCAAAGTTCATTTTCAGTTATTTTTTCCTTCTCATTCTAAAGTATACATTTCCTTGGTGAGTTTATCTATTCCCTTGGAGTAAACTCCCACCATGTGCTAATTAATTTCAAATCTATGTTTCATCTAGAGATCCCTCTCTCACATAGCCTACTGTGTATTGGACATCTGTACTTGAATACTCCATGGGTACTTCCAATTAAACCCATTCAAAAAAGATTTTAAAGTCGTTTTGTGATCTCTCATTCCCTAAAACAACCAACACCACCATTATAAAATTCCACTGTTCCTCTTTATTCTTTATCTTCTGCCATCCACAAAGCTGCTCAAGGCAGAAACCTGTCAGTCATCTTTGAATCCTCCTGTCAACCTTCTTTGACCATATCAATTCTACTCTTTATAGTAATCTCTTAATTGATTCCATTTTTTATCCCATTCGCGCTTTTAGACAATCCATTTTCTTCTATCACATTCCTTGGGATTTATTTAAACGATTGTTATTAATCATTATTAACACCACACCTAAACATATACCTTTTTAACTCTTTCCTTCCACAAATTCTTCACATATTCCAACGTCTTATGTTCAACTCTACATACTGGTAAATTCAAGTATTTAAGATTATTTGCTTTGAGAGCAAAGGTTCTATCTTTGTAAAATAATAATAATAATGATAAGACAAATTAATTTGTTCTATGATAATGTTATACCAAAGATAAAGTCTAGT